ACTGGCAGCTCTTCTACTCTCATCTCAGAAGTTACTCAGGCCATGCACCGTGACTTCAAGCTCAAAGAACTTGGACCTCTTCATTACTTCCTTGGCATTGAGGTTCAGCGCACGCAAGATTCTATACTTCTCCATCAATCCAAATATGCCCGTGATCTTCTACGCCGAGCTGGGATGTCCGACTGTCATCCGGCTATTACTCCTATGGCTACGAGACCTATCACTAAGCCTTCGTTGCCTTTCAAGGATATTTCTCATTTTCGGAGCATTGTTGGCGGTTTACATTACTTGGCTGTCACTCGTCCAGACATTCAGTATGCTGTTAATCGAGTGTCTCAGAATATGCACAACCCCACTAAGCAGGACTATCATGCCTTGCAACGCGTTCTGTGCTATCTCAAAGGCACTTTGAATCATGGTCTTCTTTTTCGCAAGGGGGGATTCGACCTATCTGTCTACTCTGACTCTGACTGGGCCAATGATAAAGATGATCGCAAGTCTACCACGGGCTACATACTCCTACTCGGTCCTAATATCATCTCTTGGTGCACGAAAAAGCAGACCTGGTTTCTAGATCATCCACTGAAGCTGAATATCGAGCTATGGCTGCAGGGGTTGCAGAAGCTATGTGGCTTCGATATATCACTGATGCGCTGGGTATTCCTCCGTCCAAACCGAAGTTATACTGTGACAATGAGTCGACTATCTGTGTCACCAAAAATCTGGTTCTTCTTGATCGCATGAAGCATGTGGGCATAGACTGTCACTTTGTACAAGATGAGGTTATGGCAGGCACTATGACTCCACATCATGTTCCCTCCTCAGAGCAGCTAGCAGACATTCTTACCAAACCGCTTCCGCCAGTTCCTTTTGAGTACTTATGTTCCAAGCTGCCCCTCGTCTCCGTTGATCAGCTTGCGGGGGGATATTAGGAAGTATAATTAAATTAGGATACTTCTTTCCTTTCCTACTAGGATTATTTTTTCCTTTCCTACTTGTACTTTGATTACTCTTGTATTCCCTATATATAGGGTCATATCTCTCAATATTCAATAAGACAAGTTATTATCAAATTGTATCATAAGGAAATGCTAGATTTTGTGGCATATGGCATGGAAGCACAATTACTTCACTTTGTTAGAAGGTTGCTTCCCTAAGCAACCCTTGCTTAGCATTTTAAATATAAGAAATAGCCAAGAACCAAATTTTTTGAAACTAGCATTAAAAATGTTCTAAGATACTTAATTTGAACCATATTAATAGATTAGATCAATCGATCACTTAGCTCAAGTCAAGAGTTTATATACAAAGTGCCAATTACTTTTTTTTCAATTTTGGATGTGAATACTTCAAGGGCAGTGGAAATGGGTATAATCCCGGGGGGCTTCATCTGGTATTTAATGCCAGAGCAGCGTTAAACACCACCCCCATCTTGCATTATTCGGGCATCACTTGATGTGCGTCAAACGTCTAACGCGGAATGGAGCAGATGAATTGAGTCGTTGGCCCAAATGTCGTTGGGCATTATTTGAAAAAATTTATTTTCAATGCTATAAATATATCTTATTTTTAACACAACAAACACACACAACTTATTCCCATTCTCTCCATAATTCCTCCAAAATATATTCTATTTCTTTTAATTATCTTTACAAAATATTCAAAAAATGGGATCATCATCTCACGATGAAAAGAGAGCTCTCGTTTTTCATTGTTTCGCGACGAGATGTTATCAATGGTGGCAACAAGGCCAACAAGAACAAGCGAAATCGTCCCGGCACCCGATCTGATGTGAGCATTTAAACTGTGATCGGGTGGCTGCACACGCTTCATTACTCAGTGATTATTTCAATACTCTGTGCGTTTATACACCAGAGAATTTTAGCAATCGTTTCGGATGAATCGTTCTCTTTTTTATGCATACTCGCCGATATTGAACGCGGGTGCCTTGGTTCACCCAACGCTTTGATATAAGAGGTCAGCGCGGTTTTAGCAGCGTCTAGAAGTGCACTACCGTGCTTTGTCAGATAGCGTACGGGAAGATATCTGATATGTTCGATAAATATATGAAGATGTCGGCTCAGAACATCAGATCATATGTTTATAAATCTTCTATAGCTATTATTCGACTTTATCATAAAAGGTATTTACGTAAGCTGACAACGAGCGACAATAAGCAGTTACAAGCTAGGCATGCCGCTAAATATGGCTTTGTTAGCATACTTAGGAGCATTGATTGCATGCATTGGGAATGGAAAAATTGCCCCACTGCATGGCATGGTCAGTTTTCCCAGGGTGATTGTCCCAAGCCTACTATCATGCTCGAACTTGGCATGTTTTTTTGTATTGCGTGCTTGAACAACGACATCAATATTCTTGATCAATCACCTATTTTTGATGATTGAATTAATTAATGACACTGCACCTGACTTGTCTTTTGAGCTTAGAGGAACGCTTTACAAATGTAGATATTTTCTTGCGGGTGGAATATATCCAGATTATTTCATGATTGTCAAGTTCATCTCTCAACTAATGGGTCTTAAATGACAGACCTACACAAAAGCTCATGAGGCGGCGATAAAAGATCTCGAATAAGCCTTCGAGGTGTTGAAGAGTAAGTGGCACATTCTATATCGTCGGTCCAAGTGTTTTTCTCAAACAAAAATGAAGAATATCATGTAGGCATGTATTATTATTTATAATATGATCATAGAGGACAACGAGTTTGCAATATGTCATTACAACCCAAACGAGGAGGTGTCTATATATGTACGAAGAAATGATCGACGAAGTAAAGAAACGAAGAAATTGCCAAGAAAACCGAAGCCGAGAGATTCACAATGCACTAACGAAGATTTTGATTGAAGATATTTTTAGTCGCTCGAATAATCACAAATTTCTTCGTAATGTAATGTAATTTTTATTTTTATTTATGTTGTTATTATTCAAATCTTCTTTATTAATGTAAATTTTTATCGAATGTATTTTTTATTTACTGAATTATTTTCGTTTAAATTCAATTAATGAAATATTATTAATTTAATTTTAGAAGATGTGTATTCTAAAATGTAAAAAATAGAGGTTTGATTGCTTGAAGCCTCACTATATAAAGCACCACGGGGCCTCTGGGTCATTTCCAGTGCTCTAAGTGTAATCTAAGTGTAAAGAAGGTAGCATATAAATTGATCTGGAGACTAGACTAGAAGAAGGTACTGACCCAGTTCCAGCAAAGAAACCAAGAGGAATCATCATTTCCCAGCCATTAATGCTCATACTGCAAAAAGTGAGTAAAAAGAAGACCCAATTTGTCAATTTATGCTTCTCTATAATTGGTGGAAACCATTACTCCAAGCTCCTACTGCAATAACTGAATACACCCCATACAAAACTGTGAGTGTCGATTTCAGCTATTTAATTCACTGACTGGCCTAAACGCTTCTCTTACTTACCACATAAATTCAAACCATTCCCATTCATTTTAACACTTTTTTTATAATTATTTTTCAAAATTATGGTGAATCAAAGTAAAGATAAAAGACTTTAATTTACAGTAAAGGAAGTATTCCTTTCGTGTTAGATTTAATTTCTCAGTTTTACTTTCGTGGTTAAACATTTTAAATTTTGACCACATATAATAAAAAAATACATTAAATTTTATTATAAATTTAATATCAATAGATTAATTTTAAAACATTGTTTTGAAACATTTTATTTTTATAATATATATTTATATATAAATAGAGTTATTAATAATCAAAATATTATATTGAAGATCGTAAAAAATCAAATGAAAAGTTAATGGCGATCTTTCACGCTATTCTTGATTTCAATATTTTTAACTCTCAATCATTCAATATTCTGTGTTTTTTAGAGAACATGAAATTAATATATTGGTTGGAATTAAAGTTGAATCACATCTTAATCATATAATAAGTGTATAGAAGATCAGTAGTTGAAAATAGATCTTATATTCTTGGGCCATGCTAGGAGTACATCAAAATGGTGTATCCTATTTGTACACCGAGTAAATACAGACACTAAGTATTTATGATCAAAATGGTGTATCCTATTTGTACACCGGGTAAATACAGATACTAAGTATCTATGATTACAGACATTAAATATCTTTTTTGTTTAGTGTACAAATAAAATACTCCGTATAACATTTTGGTGTACCCATTGCTTAATTTTATATTTTTTCTAGATGACTACCATTCTAATACCTCATATGGGTGAGAATTAAGGGCTACTATCCACAATTGCACACAATTGATACTTCATATAAAGACATAAAGTAACAGTACACAGATAAAGACTATAAATATCTTGGAATATACACATAAATATACCTAACATGATAGGTCGATCAAATCTTATTTTGTTGAAAATTTGAAGTATTTTTAAATTTGTAGATTTTATTTTATAAATTTATACCCGTAGTACCTGTTATTATACATGTAGTAAATTAAAATAAAAGTAATTTTAGACAAATATCATACTCCCTCTAGCCAATAAAATTTTTTACTTTGATAAGAAGTGAGATTTTAAAAAATGTATTACTTTTAAACTCTATCCTTACTTTATGGTATCTAGGATATGATGTGGTAGATAGATTAATGGCGAATAAAAGTGATGGGATAAATATATCAGTAATAGTAGGAATAAAATGAAAATTATAATTAAAGGTGTAAGTATTTTTTGGAATTAATAAAATGAAAGTGAAAATGTTTTCGAGACCGAGGAATTACTACGTACACACTCCTTCCGTCTAGGAATATTTGTCCATTTTTTACTTTTTCAATCAAAATTAGTAAATTTTGACTCTCAATTAGATAAAAATGATATTAAATATTGATACAAAAATAAGTTTATTAGATTTATTTTATAAGATATTTTCAATGTAGTATATTCCATCTAATTAATATACAATATATATTTTATTTAATTATATGTCAAATATTAAAAATCTTCGACTGAAAAATTCAAAACTGATCAAATAATCTAGAAGTAGTATTAAAAACAAGGGATATGCTAGGGGTACACCTTTGGTGTACCCCAAATGTACACCACCCCCTATTTACCATTCATTAGATTTTATTTTATTTTTATTTTTTATTTATTTTTGAATTTTTCTCGCCCTTTTTTTGTGGTGATGGAGGGGGTGGGGGATATTTGGGGTACACTTTTGGTCTACCCCTAACATTTTCCTAAAAACAAAATGGGACGTAGGCAGATTTTTTGGCCAAATAGCTCTGACTCCCCCTGTGGTTTGGAAAATTGGTATCAATACCCCCTCTGTTTTCAAAACTTATTTCTAAAGTCTCTGTGGTTTCAAAACGTTGCACCCACACCCCTCTGATCATTTTCCGGCCATTTTCCGGCAAAGAGGGGGCATTGACGCATAATTTTAAAACCAGAGGAGGCATTCGTGCTCATTTCTTATTTTCGTTTATTAATCTTCCCATTTTTAATATTTTATATCTCTTTTTTCTTTTCCTAGATTTTTTAAAAATATATTTTCCATTTTTATAATGTTTCAAAAATTTTAAAATTCTTTGTGTTTGAAATAAAAATAGAAAGAAAAAATCAACATACATTATTTCATCTATCTCCAATTAAACATTTTCACTTTTTGTTACTTAGAATAATTTTTTGGAAATTTCAAAAAAAACCAGAATAAAAAAATAAAATATGGAAAATCGAAATGAAAAAATTAAAATACAGAAAAAAGTCTTATACAAAAAAAAATTGGACACGCCTAAAAAAGTATTTAGAATTGAGATGTACGGAAAGGATATTCATTTTTATTTTAATATTATTTTGTTTCTTATTTTATTCCTCATTTTTTTGAAGTTCTAAAAAAAATTACTTTTATTCAAAAAAAACAAAATTTGTTAATTTGAGACGTACATATGCATTATATGTAAATTTTTTCAAACAAAAATAACTTTAAATTTTAAGAACATTATAAAAATATTTTTAAAAAACCTTTATTAATAAATGAAACAAAAAAGGAAAAAATGGAAAAAAAATTGCGAGAAATAAAAATTCGCATTGATACCCTTATGATTTAAAAAATATGCACCGATGCCCCCCTTCTTCGCCGGAAAAATGGCCAGAAATTGATCAGAGGGGGCATGGGTGCAACTTTTTAAAACCACAGGGACTTTAGAAATGAGTTTTGAAAACAGAGGGGTATTGGTGCATGTTGTTCAAACCACGAGGGGTACCAGCGCTATTAGACCCAGATTTTTTATTATTATTTATAGAAATCTTACCATATGGACAAGGCATCAACAGCGATTTCAGCATTTTCCAGATTGCCAGTCATCACAATCAGTATTCGGTAGTACCAATTTTCCAAGCTGCACATTTCGACACCCATTTCACAAATAATTTCATTCAAAATTTAAACCTCCCCAAACAAAAGCATTTAATTCAACAAAATGCTTCTTCCTCCATTGAATGAGTATCACGTACTCCGGCCTACGTCCCATCACAATTTCATTTGTGTGGTAGGAAGATTTTATTTCTAAGCAAAAAAAATTGATGTTAATATTTAAAAATTAAAGTACGGCACCCTTTGACCGTGTATTTTAGAAAAAATATATTTAGTTATGATGTAATTTTGTAAAATTAGGTTTATTTTAAAATATAATTTTGAAATATCATAATATTTAAATATATTACACTATATTTAATTGTGATAAAAAAGTGTCATAGTTTTACTAAAAAAAATATCAACCTTTTAGGGACCGAGAGAGTATATTTTTAGATAAGGGAAATATGTGTGGTACGAGTAGGGAGTTTTTCAAAAATATACTCCGTATTTAGTTATGATGTAAATTTAGTAAAATTAGGTTTATATAATTTTGAAATATCAATTTTTTAATAATATTTAAATATATTAAAATATATTTAATTGTGATCAAAAGGTGTCACAATTTTACCAAAAAAGTTGTCAATCTTTTAGGGACGGAGACAGTATATTTTTAGATAAGAGGAATTTACCTAAGTAGTATTCCGGAGTATTAAAATATAGTGACTTTTCCAATATATTATTATACTCCCTCCGTCCCGCAAAAAACTTCTCGTTTTAACTTTTAAAGGATTTAAGAGAATGTATTTTGATATTGACTTTCCAAAAATATCCTTTGATGTGATGGACAAAGTAGGATGTGATGGGTAGATTAAAAGAGAAAAAATGTGATGTGATCGGTAGGTTAAACAAGCATTTAAACAAAAAACCTACTCTAGCAAAATAAAATCAATCCGATTTTATACATTTATACTCCGTATAGTCTTACAAAATCAATAACAAAGAAGGCAGTACATCTCATCGTAGTCGTCTCAAATCTCGTTAATAAAAACTGAGCTCCATCCTTAACAATAACAATATATGTATATATATTTTTAATTACAATTAAGTTTATCACAATGCTCGAATTGAAGATAATAGAACATCCGGCGGTATCATATAATTTGTTTGATATATTGTGAGGACCTATTATATTAAAAAGAAGATACAGTACCACGTGGTAGTTTATTTTTGCATCTCAAAATAAACTTTTTTTTCACCGAGTTGAATAAAACTAAAATTAAGTACTTCCTTTGTTTTTTCTATTTATGAGTTTTGATTGATTTTTAGATAATTCAAGTAAAGGCAGTGACGGCGTACCATAGCATGACTCCAGAAGAGACGGAAAGCTTAAAGAAATCCCAAAGACCAGTGAAAGCTTCCATGGAGAAACCGGGCCACGAAAGCGGGCAGCCGCCGCAGACAGTGTACCCGAACAGCCCGAGAAATATAACGAGCCACGAGAAATTCAAGGTCATTGCGGTGGCGACGATTCCCAGCCGGAGGCGGTAAACGACGAGCCAGCTGACCATGACATGCACCACCAGCGCCACCAAGTTCACGGCGGCGATCACCGGATTCTTCAGCTGGCTCTGCAGGAACCTCTGCACCGGGAACTGGAGCGCGAAGCAGAAGTGCAAGGGCACGAAAGCCATCACCACCACCCCGGACAGCTCCGCCACCGCCTCCGGCTGCCCGAGCAGCTTCAGAAGCGGCGTGGCGAATAGGAACAGAGGCATCATCGCGACGCCGCACAGGAGCAGAACCACCCACGAACGCTGCAGATATATTCCCAACATCTCGTGCTTCTTCGCCCCGTACGCCTGCCCGCACAGTGTCTCCAAAGCGCTGGCCATTCCGAGCTGGGAATAGAGAAATCAACTCAACCAAAATGTCAAGAATGAAGCTTGTAGTTATAGATCTAATGAAATGGAGGGAAATTAATTAAGGAGGTTAAGAATAGTGTACCATGAGGCCGAAGTCGAAGCCGAGGACGACGTTGCTGGCGATGGACATGGCGGCGAGCTCGAGATCGCCGAGGTGGCCGGCGAAGGCTTGGGTGATGACGAACATGGAGTAAGAGGCGATGCGGCTGAAGATGGCGGGCCCCACTATCTGCCATAGCTTCTTGGATTCGACCCAATATCTCCTCGAGAACTTTCTTCTATCTTCTTCTTCTTCTTCTCCTTGGTCGCCTCTGTGATTATTGTTGTCGGATGAATATTGGAGTAGCGGCACCTTATAATTGTTAATATTGGAGTTTGTGTCGGCTAGGACGACGCCATTGCTAGACATTTTACTGCCTTTTTGCTATCTGCAAATAATAATAATCACAATAATAGAGGATTTAGATTGTGCGGTTGATGCCTGCTGCTGCTTATATATATACTCCTACCTTTTTCTAAATTACACTAAAATATAATGACTTTTTCTAAATAGCATCATATGTATTTTTTTTATCAATGTAACACTTATAGTCATTATGCATTAATCATTATTCAAGCAAATATTTATCATCAGAGGCGGACCCACCTTGAGTCCTATGGGGTCCCGGGACCCCACGGACCCCGGGATAAGTCCATATTAGGTATGTATAGATATTAATATATAAAAACGCTTGTCACATACTAACCAAATCGCGTATGGTTTAGCGGATGAGTCCACTGCTGCGCCGATTCCCTTCTCCTCTAGACGGAGGTTCGACTCCTAGTTTGGTGACTTTTTAGAGTAAATTTTTTTCTTCTTTGTAGTCAATTTTTTTCGTAATTAGCATCAAAATGACGTCATTTTCCCTCCCCTTTTCTTTGTAAATTTCTCCTTTCTTCTCTAGTTCCCCAATTTTTTATTTTACACTTTTAATTTTAATTTTGGAGTCAATTTTTTTTCTTTTTTAGAGTCAAATTTTTTCGTAATTAAGTAAATTTTTTTCTTCTTTGGAGTCAATTTTTTTCGTAATTAGCATCAAAATGACGTCATTTTCCCTCCCCTTTTCTTTGTAAATTTCTCCTTTCTTCTCTAGTTCCCCAATTCTTTATTTTACACTTTTAATTTTAATTTTGGAGTCAATTTTTTTTCTTTTTTAGAGTCAAATTTTTTCGTAATTAGCATCAGAACGACGCCATTTTCCCTCCCCCTTTTCTCTGTAAATTACTCCTCTCTTCCCCAGTTCCCTAATTCTTTATTTTACACTTTTAATTTTGATTTTGGAATCAACTTTTTTCGTAATTAGCATCAAAATGACATCATTTCCCCCCCCCCCCCCTTTTCTTTGTAAATTTCTTATCTCTTCCATAGTTCACCAATTCTTTATTTTAAACTTTTAATATATGAATATATGATTAGTATTTAGTAATATATAATAATTTACACATTAAAGAATAAAAAAATTTTCTTCAATAAAAAATTGATTTAGGATGGCTAGTGATAAGTATTATTGTATTAATGTTCATTTTATGTCTAATTTACAGAATTTAAAATGCAAAGGTATTTCAAAAAGCTAGCCAAATTCAAAGATCCGGAGTCGAGTGGAATTGGTATTACTTTATTTATATGTATTCAAAAAGCTAGCCAAATTCAAATTCAAATTACGATATTATTTTCGTATGACTTTATTTATATATATTCCCTCTGTTTCTCAAAACGGTTCCTCTTTTGACTTTGGGGAAAAATAAGGAAGTGTTAAATTGTAATTGACTTTTCAATTTTACCCCTAATGTGATGGGTAAAAGTAAGATATCATAGTTTAGTTGTTAGTGAAAAAGTATGATGTGATAGGTAGGGTATGAAAAAGTAGGGATAAAGTGGTTTTTAATAGAAAAGAGAAGTGTTTTAAGAAAAACAAAAAAATGAAAGATGAAGGATTTTAAGAAACGAAGGAAGTATTAATTATGATACTCTTCAAATATTAGTTTTAATTTATTGTTAAATATTAAGACTTGTGAAGTAGTTTGACATAAAATGTGAAGTAGCCGGGTAGAGGACCCCATGGCCTTAAAATCTTGGATCCGCCTCTGTTTATCATCACTGGTCATTATAGATATTATTAAATGTTATTTAGAAAATAAAACAATTTAAGTGTTATTTAGAGAAATGATTTAAGTTTTAGTGATATTTAGTACAAATATTTCTTAATTTATTCCGTCAACTGTTTTAACTTTTGCTCAACCATTTTAATTTTTAATCTATAATTAAATAATTGTAGATTAAGTAGATAAAATAATATGTTGAAAGTATTTGATATAATAAATCTAATAAAACTATTTTGGTATTAATATCTGGTACCATTTTTTATTTAATTTGAGGTCAAAGTTTATCAAATTTTGGGCCTTGGGAATAATATTTTCTATTAGCATTAGTTTATTGAATAATAATTTTATAGTGTTGATTAATTTTGAAAACGTTAACATCAGATAGCATTTTAAAAATGGTAATATTAACATCTAGCGTTGATGCTAAACATGGCCTTGATTTTTTACAGAAAATCATTTTTTTTAAATTTGAACTACAATCAGATTAAATTTATAAAGTATATTGATTAGATAAAATAATTAATATTTTAAAAGTACTATATAAAATAAAACTAATACTCCGTAATATTAATTTTATTTAATCAATGATCTAAGTTCAATGAAAAAAATCAAAACAAAATAAATACTCTGGAAATAATATACACATATAAACAATGAATATATAATTCTTTGTGTGTGTAGAAATTAAAACCTGTTTAACTTTGGATCGTGTAGGTAATAAAGGGCGGAGACAAATTCAAGATTGTCGGTCACTCGGTCCTTATCATTTATTCGAATGCGATTTGGGCTTGGGTTTCAGAACTAGACAATGAAATTGTCGTTATGAGGTGGTGTCGGGCCCAACCCAACAAGATTGAGCTTTGGCATGCTTGGATCGCTGGCCATTTCCAGAGACGGGCACGAACGATCCAGAATTTACCAACCAGCCAATATATTGCAGTTTGTACTTTGTACAGCTCCCAACGCCAAATGCATATATGGATGTGTTTGGAAAATGGCAAATTATTGCATGCATTTAAGTGTAATAATTGTGATATATGCCTCTTTTAAGTGTTTAATTGTTTAAATAAGTATTTTTAAAATAAAAACAAATATGAATGAAGATTCATATAGACTTTAGGTTTACCATAGAACCTCTTTGTGAAAATAGCTTTTCGACAGGGCCGTCTCCGAGATATTATTGGCCTGGGACAACACCAAGAAAATAGGTCATCGTGTCATAATGAAGCAAAATCTATAAAATATATTTTTTAATAATTAAAAAATTACTCTGTACAATAGTAATGAAAATAATAAAAAGTCAAATGTGTAGTCCTATAAATCTATAATTACATACCTTAATAACTAGCTAAAGATTCCTAAAGTTTTTCTAGCATTTTTAAGATCAAATTGGTTGATATATGACTTTTGATGTACTTTTTAAATATTTAAATATTATTTTTTTAATTTTACACTAATTTTCAAATAAAATGAATTGAGACAAAAAGTGTAATATAAATAATTAAATACATAGTAATAAATAAATATATGTAATAGACTTACAAAAAATGGGGCCCCATCTACTATTGGGCCCTTTCCAAGCGGTCATTTTGTCCTTGGCTTGAGCCGGCCATGCTTTTCGATGACTTCTAAGTTTTTTGATTGACTTTGATTATTTTGAAAAATTTATATTTTCACTTAATGGTGTAAATTAATCACGCGAGCAAACTACTCTAGACCGAGTCTAAAGTGGTTTGCTGAGTTTAGAGACAGAAAAGACAGAGTAAACAAGAATTGATTAGAAGGACTGTAGGTAAGAACACTTGTAGACCAGTTTTTATTGAGTATGGGAGTAGTACAAGGAGGTATCGCACATATGCTCTTAGAGAGATGGAACTCTGATCTCTAAGAGTTACAAGTGTATTTATATTGTAGCTATGTGACAGGCTGGCGGGTGTCCATATTTGTTCACGTGCCAATCACGTGACGACGTCATGGCTCTTTGTCTTGTAGTGCTTGTCTCCTTTCTCTAGTCGTTATGCTCTGTAACTGCCCCTATTGGCATGTAGCATTTGACTAGGATGTTTGAATATGTCCGTTGGTGCAGGAAAATCTAGTCTGACCAGATTATCTCCAAATCGCAATATTCCAAGTATGCTAGGCTGTTAGAACGTACGACAGTTCCAATGAACCACCCGGGCGGTTTTGCTGAGTGACACCCTGATCACTCGAGAAGCTTTTCAATGAAACCGTGCCATTATACCGTTGGGTCATGGGCACCCTTCCATCCGGGTGGTTTGCATCACCACTGCTAATGTGTGGATTTGCGGCCCCAAATTACCCTTAATGCATCCCCCTCAAGCTTACCCGCTTGGTTCTTGCTGGACCAGACCCGGGTCGGGGCCTGGGTGAAATACATTCATCAGGTTCTTTAGTCCAAAAAATCAAAATTGGGTGGAGTGTATTAAATGAGGTGTAATAAATAAAGTAAGTGGGGGTAGTTGTGGTATTTCAATTGTTAAAAAGTGAAATGAGAAGATCTATTGTGGACAAATAAAAAGGGCTATTGGAAAGATCTATGAGGGACAGAGAGAGTATATTATTGACGTGTTCTCATTTAACCATCTTATTGCGTATCATTAGAAATTTCTACTCCTAACGTTCTAATTTAAGTTGTTCGTTTAATATTTATGGGGTCAAATTTGAATTACTTTCTCTATCAAGTTTTGTTATTGATTTGACAAAATAATATAGTCATGTTACTTCTAGTTATATCTTGGAAAGTAATTTTTTTAGAGTAGAAGTCTCCTTAAAACATTTGTCCTCAAATAATCAACAAAAAATTGCTGCTGGGTACCCTTAATTTTGGGATAAAGACTAGCAAGTCCCATTGTTTTTCAAAATATACTCTGAGGTACCTTAAGATATTCGAAAACTGACTCCGGGGTGACAATCCGTCATTCTCTCCGTTAACATTTCTTCTCCGTTATCCTCCTCCTCCTCCTCTTCTCAAAAAATTGCTGTCAGGTACCCCTTATTTTCGGATAAAGACTGGCAGGTCCCATTTTTAAAAAAAATTTACTCATGGGAATTTAAAATATGATGTTTGTGACTGAAGAGGGAACTTACGTATCATTTATAAAATTAAAATTATTTATTCATTTGGTTATAAATTATACGTCGTAATTCATAATAATATTAAATTTAACATTATTTTTTTTTGTTTCATATTATCTTTACAAGACATATTAAATTTAACACTATTTTTATTGTTTCATCTTATTCTTTTCTCAAGTCCTCTTGTTTTCTCGATTTACCATGACACCATTACCAATTACGACTATCAATGACTAATGCGGAGTACTATTTTTCTAAATAATAATGATTGTTACTCCGTATTTCTTAAAAATAGAGTAATAAAATTACTACTCTGCAATTAACTTTTAATAATAATTAAGGAAATAATAGGAAATACATAATATTATCAATTTTGACCAAAAAAACAAAAGTAAACAAATACTCTAGAACAGAGGAGTAATTAATATGAAGTAATAATAATAACTACTGGTATTTTTTAAAAAAGTATAGAAGTAAATTACTAATTACTCCGTAATTGCTTAAAATAAATAATAGTATTAATAATAAGTGTTATTTTATAATAAGTGCTATTTTTCTAAATAACAATTAGTGTTTTTATAGAAAAGAGTGGTAAAACTAACAATTAATTTTTAATAATAATAGTAATAATAATAAATCAAAAAATTAATAATAATAGAATAAGAAAATAATAATTATGAAGTAATTAATTATAATAATTACTAACAAATAATAATAATTATAATAGAAGAAGAGAAAAACAAAAGAAAAGGTAAAAGAAGAAAAAAACGGGGGTGGGGGGAGGAATGGAGGTTACTGGAACTCTGGAAAGCAGGAGAAAGAAGAAGAAAAGAAGAAAAGAAGAAGAAGAAGAAAAGAAGAAAAGAATGGGACCTGCCAGTCTTTATCCCAAAATAAGGGGTACCTGACAGCAATTTTTTGAAAAGAGGAGGAGGAGGAGAATAACAGAAAAGAAAGGTTAACGGAGAGAATGACGGATTGTCACCCCGAAGTCAATTTTTGAATATCTTAAGGTACCTCGGAGTATATTTTGAAAAACAATGGGACCTGCTAGTCTTTATCCCAAAATTAGGGGTATCCAGCAACAATTTTTTGAATAATCAAATAATGTGCGAACCAAGGTAATGAATGCACATACTATAAAAAGTATTTTGTGCAAAGTGATTTGAAATATAAATCCTTCTTATTAAGGTCGACCATAAGGCCTTGTGTGATCTGTTGAATAAATCGACCTTAAGTGCAAAATTGATTTCAGCAAAAATGTTCGATCTAGAGTTTTACAAGCCTTGGAGATGAGATGCGCATAATATAAAAACATGTTTTATATAATGTGCATTGAATTTGTGCACACAAAAATACTCTAAACAGCGCAACCTAATCACCATTATTTAATTTGTCTTCCACTGCTACCAAACACGCCTTTAAACATCACCGTCGTCGGTGCTCCATGTGCGTTGATCTTATATCGCTTGTATTACACATTTACACGAAGTGTATGTTGGTGATTTTAGTGTCATCGATTTATTTTGTGTGATTGAATTTATTTAGATCGAACAAAAATTTAAATAGACGTTGTCAAACGAGTTAAGAGGCGCAGAGTGTGCGCTCGTTCAACGATATTACAAATTCACAGCGGGAGTTCGGGGGGCGGCAGCCCCTGGAAAGCGGGTCCAAGGGACGGCAGCCACTGACGAGGTCCAAAGGGCAAAGCCCCTGGCCGGGGGCGGCCACCCCTTAGACCACGCTTTTTCTTTATGAAAATTCTTAAGATTTTCATGATCGGAGTCCAAAATAATAAAGGACTCGAATAATAAAGGATAACGTCAAATTTTACTCCAAAACGGCAGGATCTTCTTCTTGTGCGCGTTTCTTCTTCTCTGCGCGAATGTACGCATTTGCGCGAACTTTCATGTCTCATCATGAATTTTTGACTCTATAAAATAGAGTTTTGTGGTATGAATTGAGGGTCAGATTTCGAAAGCTTGTTGTTGGTTGACGTCTTTTCCGATTGAAGTATTTCGTATATCCCGAAATAACTTTGATCTGAAAGCGTTTATACACGATTCGTTATCCTATCAAGTTCTTCATTAACACTGCTTCGCAGTGTTCTTCGTACGATAATTCCAACAGTATATATATATTTATATATATATATATATCTCGTTAAATAAGGAGTGTACATAGATATCTCGTTATATACTCTTCGTTCTCATTTAGATCACAATATTCCTTTTTTGTGTAATTGAATATTAAGTGACATGAAAAAGATCTTTTTTCAAATTATCCTCAATAGGCTTTGTGATAATGTGTAATATGTGTGTACTTATTTAGTGTAGATAATTGAAATGCAATAAGTATCTTAATGTGGATAGAGTTATTAAATGGAGTACTTTTGTCCAAAAAGTGTGTAAATTGGATGATTCATGATTGTAATCCACAAGAAAAAGATGAATATTTTAATCAAAACTGGAACGGATTGAGTAAATATCTTTTACTCCGTATTAGACACGTATGGGTTATATTCCTCCGTTCTAAAATTATCTTCCCACTTCTCTTTTTTCTCTGTCTTAAAACTACCTTCTCATTAGAAAAAAAGATGACAAATGACATTAATACTCTCTTGTATTTACACCTATTATCTTCTAACTCTATATTTTGAATGATTGCAAAAAAAATTTCAAAAAATCTTTTTTAAAAAGGGTAAAATTTGAAGTCAAAGCCTAAAATTAAAAATAGGGAAAAGTCAAACTGAGAAGAAAGAATTAGGACGGAGAGAGTACAAATTACTTCGTCTAAATTTCTTTTACACTATGTTTGGTTCAAGGATTTTGGAAGGAAAAGAAAAGAAAACGATTTTCTCTCATTTTCCTCACCAAAATGGGAGGAATTTGGTTTTCTTTCCATTTAATACATTTGTCTTCTCATTTTCTTTTCCTTCCACTTTTTCTCTCCAACCAAACATGAAAAACAGTTTTCCACTCCATTTTCTGACTTTCCTCGCGTGATTTCGAGTTGATTTCTTTTGTAATTCTCCTGCTAACCAGAACATGGGTGCTGTTGACCGACTTTTACAAAAAAAACGGTAGTGTTAATTTAGAGTTTTAACAAACTTGGGAGTAATCAAAAAATTAACCTAAATAAGAGTAAAAAATAGAAAACATACTAAAATAGAGTTTTCATATTTTTATTTCTGAAATAAAAGTTTGCAACGTGGCATTATATGTATGCGTTTTACTATATTTTTGGTAATGCACATAGTCTCGATTGGTAATGTAATATCGGAGAATAAAAATATAAAAATCTTATTTTGGGCATATTTTTAATAATTTACTCATACTTTAATTTTTTCCCAATAATCAACAAATTTAAAATAGTTGTTTTTCTGTGCTTATAAGCGGGTCGAAACTGTTTTTAAGCATATTTTTTTACTTATAATCAGTTAATGACATATTTTTCTGTGCTCATAAAATAAACTCTAAGTTAATAGCTGTGTATAAGCAATTAGCCAATAAACATCAGCACAACGAAAACAACTCCAAAATTTTTGCGTGAACACTTGTGATAATTACAATTGGTAGAGTAACCATAATACTAAGGGTCAGTTTGGCACACGAAATTGATGGAACTTGAATTGATTTAGAATTAAAATTACTTCTTCCGTCCCATAAAGTGTTACCCATTTTGACTAAAGTTGAAATTAAGGGAGTGATAATTTTGTGTTGACTTTCCAAAAATACCCTTGATGTGATGGGTAAAAGTAGGATGCGATATGTAGATTATTAGGAAAAATGTATGATGTGATAGGTAGGGTTTGAAAAAGTAAGGGGTAAAAGTGGTTTTTTAATATAAATGGGTAAGGGATTGTGGGACGCATTTTTTTGAAACGTGTAAATCTTTTTGGGACGGAGAGAGTATTTGTTATTAAACTAGATGAATTTAATTTTTCATTTCGAATTCATTTTTTTGCATTACCAATTCCAAAATTCATATATTTTTATCCTACCAACTTACAGAATTAGATTGAAGTCCTCAATTCTAATTCATGGTTTAGAATCACTTATCAACGAGAGCCTAATAATAATTAATGTTTTTAAAAAATGAGCCATAATACAAATCACGGAGTGAAATTTAAGATTGAAGCATTCGAGAGCTATTTTGAGTGCTTGGAAGTGCATTTGAAAATAACCCAAGCTTATACTTTACTAAAACACATTTTTAAATGTTTGACAATCTATTTTAACTTATTAATTATGGATTTAGACGTAGAAATAAAGGTCTAAAAGTGTTTTCCTACAAAACCAAAAATAACTATTCTTCGCTTCTCACTTTTGACTTTTACTTACTCCATTCGAGAACAAGGTTTTTAATTTGACTTAACACAAAATTTAAGAAAAGTAAATATGTGTGATTGAAAATGATGCAGAAGAGAAATAGATTGTGCGCCAATCAAAGTTTTTAGAAAAAGAGATATGAGGCTTTTTTCGAGACATCTCAAAAAATTAATAAAAAATCATTTTTTAGGGCGAAGAGAGTATTATATTACTCACAACACTCCCTCAAAAAATCTAATTTAGAACGAAGAGAGTAGAAAAGTATTTACATCTAAAAAGTCATAGTTTTCGAAACTAATTTTTCAAAAATCAATTTCCCAAAATCAATTTCTACCTTAATTCGAAGTGGATAGTAAATAGAACATTAAAACTTGTTTTTAAAAAGGATGAGCCTACCTCGGTGGAGTTCTCAGAGTTGATAAGAGAGTTGACTAGAGAGTTGACTATGAGGGCTACTCAGAATTGGTAAAAGAGTTCAGAAGTAAATTGGTCAGATAAATGAAATTTTAGTCCAAGACTAATTCGCAAGAAGTGAAACATTACTTATACTTGGCAAAAATCATATGCTTAGAAAAATTGCTAGACCCGATAATTGAGCTTTAATCTAACCTATGGTTCTAAGATACACAGTCAGTTTACGGACCTTAGTATATAAATATTATTGAGGAATTGAAGTCTTTGAAAAGAATTTAAAGATCCCTAAATCAGTTCATAAATACTATTAAAAAATCCATATTTTATATACAGATCTTAAGATCATAGAAGCACAATTCTTACTCTAAATCTTGTAAAAAAAACTCTCAAACAAGAGGAAACTTTTGTTTTTGGTAGATCCAAGATCAATTTTAAAGATTGTCATTTCGTTTAAAAATGAATTGTGTAGTTTTTGGTCTTCTTATTTGAATAATAATTTCTAACTTCCAATTTCATTTCCTTAGAGGCAAATTCTTATAATAAGAGTTTAAAATTAATTTTAGAATGGTGAAAGTGTTCCCATTAATAGATTTTTGAATGGCATAAACCAGTTTATCCCCACAATCCTCTCTTTTTCAATGTAAAATCAAAAAGAATACAAAATATTATTGAATTATTTCGTATACCACAAATAATGATAACACGAAGTCACAATTTTGAAAAAAAAAATAAAAATACACCGATGAGACGAATGCAAAAGCCAAACAAGGTTAAATTACAAAGTACAAAACAAATTAAATCTGGTCCGTCCACATGACACACATTATATATAAATATCGAAATACGCACAGATCTACGCTCAGTATGCCTACACGTGTACCGCACCGCGCCCACGTGGCACTAGATCAGAGCTGTCGCGAGGAGAACTCCGGCTAGGGCGGCGGCGCCGCTCATGGCCATCCTGGAAGCACCGTTCGGCGGCGGGGTGCCGTCCGCTGCGGGCTGCTCCGCCGGGGAGTTTCCGGCAGGGACAGCAGCCGGCGCCGGGCTCGACGGTATGGTTGGAGAGGGAGACGAGGGTGCAGGCGCTGATGATGCAGGGGATGGGGTCGGTGCGGTGGTCGGTGCCGGAGACGGCGGAATAGGGGGCGGCGCCGCCGTGGTGGGTGCCGGCGCAGGAACGGCGGTGGGAGAAATTTTGGGTGAGGGAACAGGGGCTTGTGCTAGGCACGAGGCGGCGAAGAGAGCAAAGAGAAGAAATGGTTTGAAACTCATATTGAAAAGCTCTTTCTTTTTGGGAGAAAAGGGAGATGGGGAAGAGAATATGAAAGATAACTGTGTGAGGAAATATATAAAGAAAATGAGATAAAGACTTCTTTGCTTTTAAGCAATAAAAACTACGGAGTATAATAATAAAATAAAAGGCTATCCAGAAAAGAAAGACAAAAAAACAATAAGATAAGGAACAACAGCTCGAAAAGTCGTTTGATTTTCAATTTTTTTAAAAGAAAAATTGAAACTAAGAAAAACTTGTTACCAGTTTCTCAAAAAAATGCATATACCCTTTTAAGTTTTAACCTTTTTGTCCCATAAACTACTGTTTGAAGAGAATTTTATTTTTCCACAGAAAGACTCCTCACCAGGTGAAGAATTTTTTTTCAACCAAAAATTGAACTAGATCAATATTGTTAGATAGAATATACTACGTATAATCACCTACTCCCTATTATTTATTAGTTCTATTGTATCAATAAAAATAATTTTATTACTATGATTACACTTAGAAAATTAAAAATTTTGGAATTGCCTACGTATCCCAATTAAAAAGATCAAACCACACCTAGTTCATATAAAGAGTTGGTAGATTAAATCAGATAAATTTTTAAGCTGCGTGATCAATCGAAATGTTTTCTAACAATTTCTTATCTATTGTATTACTCGAAGACATACTATTATAACAACAAGAATTACAAGATATAGCTTTTGGATACAAGACATACAACACATGACCCCCATTAAATTTTTCAATTGCTCTACAATAAAACTCGTTATTTACTTTAATGAGAGTTATTTTGATCAAAAGGAGGACGAGACATATGTAAAAATAATTTTTAAATACTCCCTCCGGTCCAAAACATTTTCAACATTTGTTTTTTCAGCAGTCGCGAGAATTTTAGTTTATTTCTACGTTTTCATTTGTTATTTGATAAAATAAAATATTTTTGACATCTCTTAATTATTTCGAAGAACTTTTCATATAGTTTTTTGATATGTAAATTTTATTTTTTATTTATAAACTAATATTTACTTCGGGATACAAGTGTGACAAATATTTAGGGATTGAGAGAGTATGATCGAGTTTAATTAATTAGTACTCCGTATTTCATAATCATAGAACAATTTTCAAAGAAATAAATAATAAATCATTTCCTTAATATTCTAAAGAATCATTGAAATAATAATTACTCGAGGTAATATTCATGTACTACATTTTAATTACTACTACCTCCGTCCCAGAGTATTTGTCCACTTTCATTTTTACACACCATCGAATACACTTCTTTAATCCATTTTATCTTGTAATTTGTATTAGACATGACAAAAAGTGACCTGACCTGTTTTTGACCCGAAACCCGACCTGAAAACACTGGGTTTTGAACAAAGGTTTTGATGACCGAACCCGAAGTTGACCGAACCCGAAATGACCCGCTAAAAATGGGTCAAACCTGACCGAACCCAAACCCGACCTGACCGACCTGCTAAAGTAAGAATTTTTCAAAATTATACACTTTTTTTTACTTGTTTTTAGTGTATAAATTTATATTTCCAGACAAAATTTTAATGATATTGCATAATTATCTTACTTTTTTCCAAAACTTAAACATTTTTAAATTCCTTATATTGATTTATATATCTAAAAACTACTCTAGAGTTGAAAATAATATAATTTTATAGATTTAGTACTTTTTTTGATATTTTAAATTTATTTAATAGAAAATGTAAGTGTTAATGTGAATTTAAAAATTAAAAAACCAAAGACATAACCTGTTGGGTCGACCCGAACCCGATGACACTGGGTCATGAACATACAGTTCTCAACCCGAACCCGAAATAACCCGAACTTGAAGTGACCGAACCCGAACCCGACCTGACCGACCGATTTGCCAGCTCTAATTTGTATATTAACAAATTATAGAAATTACGGAGTATATATTAATAATTTATATGTTCAGACAAATCAAACAAGATCACACATGACTATATTTAAGCTTACACATTGAGAGAATTTGATGAGTCAAATTGCTTAGATGAACACTTCTAGAAGTCAAAACTGGACGAATACTCCGGCACGGGGGAGTATTAATTAAAACTTCATCTTCATAAAACAGTCCTTGAAGAAATAAACAATATGAAGTAAATTATTTATTTATCCTTCTAGATAGTCAAAGAAATACGGAGGAGTGTCTGAAAATGTTTTTTCCATGTTCTTTTTAGGCCCATTTAGAAATATTCTTTACATTTTCTTTTTTAGTCTATTTTTTAAGAATGAATTTCAATAATACGGAGTATGTTTCTATCCAACACCCGTCACAAGAGACCAAGAAGTTGAACGGGGTCTGAACAACTACGTAAAAGCTAAGAGCACTGTTCTTGACCAACCCAGATGTGTAGTCCGAGTTTGGCTTATAAATTGGAGAACATTGTTACACGGGCGAGGTTCTAGTGACACTCACGTTTGATAATACTAGCGGTGACACTGTCATTTTAGGACACTTCCGATACTCCGTTCGTAAAATTGATGGTTTTTACTCGCCTTATTTCAAACCCCCCACATTACCTGCGCCCTTGCACCCCCACCCCAACCCCGTCGTAAGTCCCCCAAAAAATGTGCCGCTATTATGCATCCCATAATAGCCACACATTTTGTGGGAGGCTTACGATGGGGTTGGGGTGGAGGTGCAGTGGCGTGGTAGGGTGGGGGGTTTAGGGGGTGGGTTAGAGGGTAAGAACCGTCAATTTTACAAACGAAGCACATGCCGTTGAAATTAGCACTAGTGCCTCTTGTGGTTTGAAAAATTGGCACCAATATCCATCTATTTTTGAAATTTATTTCTAAAGTCCTCGTAATTTCAAAACATTGCATCCACACTCCTTCCAATCATTTTCCAATAGAAAGAGGGGGGGCATTAAGGCCTATTTTCTAAAACAAAAAATAAACGAAAAATAAGAAATGAGCACCAATGTCACCTATAGTTTTGAAAGTAGGCATCAATGTCCCTTCTTCGCCAAAAAATGATCATAGGGGGTATGGGTGTAATATTTTGAAACCACGGGGAGTTTAGAAATATGTTTTGAAAATATGGAGTATTGATACCTATTTTCCAAATCACGAGGGTGTTGGTGCTATTTGGCATATAATCATTATATGATACTCCCTTCGTCCTTTAAAGTTCTTCCCTTATTGATTTTTAGGGAACTTAAGCGAGAAATATAGTTGTGTTGATTTTTAAAAATATACTTGATGAGATAAGTAAAAGTAGGATGTCATGGATAGATTATTAGTATAAAAGTATGATGAGATAAGTATGGTAAGAATTAGTAGGGATAAAAAATATTTTTTTAATAAAAAGGAGGAATTTGATTGTAGGATAAAAACAAAGAAAAGAGAAAGAATTACAGGGACAGAGGGGCTGGGAGAAAGGCTAAAGTAGGAATAAAATATTGAAAATATAACAAAATAGAAGTTTTATATTTTTATTCTCGAAATAGGAGTTAAAAATACATTTACATTACCAATAATGAGCATGTACATTACCAAAAATATACTCTGTAGTAAAATGTACATATATAGTGTCACATTACCACAGTGTGAACTCCTATTTATGAAATAAAAACATAACTTCTATTTTAGTACCTTCTATGTTTTTACTCCTACGTGATTTCTGTTTTTGATAATGATAAGAAAATGTATAGTCAATCATTCTATGAGAGATGATCGAGCAAGCTAATGTGAGAGAGCATATATACTTTTGATTCACGACAGTGCATCTTTTTGATGTTATGTTTTAGGCATCATTCTTATATTAGAGAATTGCAGAGTAATAATATTCGCAACCTCGTCAGCATCAGACCTTTCAAACAAAACATGAAACAATAATTTCAATTTTAGGTGGATGAATTATGTCATGTTTATAAAAACAAAAATACGGATTATTCATACTCTTCAATTCTGAAATAAAGATCATTTGCCATTAAAATAAATAGCAATATTATATGTGTGATGTAGGTTAAGTGTCACTATCTATATAACTGGCACTATCTAACCAATGCACTCATTAAACAAATCATATATATATACGTGCATCTCATTTCTTAAATAAGTTTATTTATTGATCAGTACTTATATTCCGTAATTAAAATGCTGGGCCGAGTTAATTAAAATTTTAACTGCTCCGCCAATAATATATGGAGTAAAACGTTTTCTATCATTCTATACCTAAAAGCAGGAGAATTCTGCCTTAAGCTTTTCCCGTCCAAAGCACATTCATTCAGCACAGTTGATTTCATTAGATCTACGGTTGTCCTTCATCTTCGTAAACTACCAATTTAATAAATTCTATTTAAGGTATTACAATTAACTCTTTCGTATTGGAATTAATGTGGCATACTAATTCATCATGAAATACGGTAATGGTAAGTAGATAAATATTCTAAATGAATGGAGAGTTCTAAATAAAATGGTAAGTTTTGATACAACATGGTACATGGAGGATCACAGTAATGATAAGTAGATAAATGTTCTAAATAAATAGAGTGTTTTAAATAAAAATTAAAAAAATACTAGAGTCACAAACAAATAATCACAAACTTCACAAATTTGTCTTTTGTAGAATATTAAATTAAAATATCTTTTATTATTTAAGTGTACCTTATTTTTACTATGAACTTAAAAAGACAAGTTTGTGATTTTTATGAACGATTTGTTTGTGATTTTTATGAACTTAAAATGTTAAATGAAGAATTATAATAGTTAGTGTAAAACATAAAAGGTAACCAAAAGCTGTTAGAAATGTAAATATTACTCCGTATTGTACATTTATTATTTATTATCATACTTAATGTCATTATTTATAATGAAAATTTTTGCACGTCTATTTCCTTTTCAAATCCCTTCTAGCATGTATAAATATTTGCTCCACTTGTGGATTTCTATCATCTATTAATTTTTAGTTTCTACCCAAGTTCAAAAATAATTTTAGTACTAAAGTTTTCAAATTCATTTCATATGTAGGATTGTCACAATTATTTAGATAGAAATACTATAATGTGTGATTCAACTTTAAAGATTATTTGTAAATCATAAAAATGATCCAAATTTTAAATGACTGCAATTTTCAAATGCAATCAATGAAATTGATATATTGCATTTCTTATTTAATGTATTTGTTTGTAATTTCTAACCCAATGTAATTGTTCAAATTGGTAATTTGTAATCTAATTGATTTATAATATTATCAATTTAACGCAAAGTTCTTAGTTT